GGGACCTCGGGGCCGGCATCCCACCGTCTTGTCACCATCTGGCCGATTAGCGGGCGGACGTCACCTCCTCCCCTGCAGCGAGGCCGGCTCTTCGCCGGCACGCTGCCCCGTGTCCCTGCCGGGCACGGGCTTCACGGGCAGCTCGTGCCGCTGCCGGACGTGCGTCAGGTCCCTGCTGGTCCCTGGGGAAAATGGGGCTGAGAGCAAGGAGAAAGCACCCAGGGGAGGGGGTGGCATGGGGTGAGCGGAGAGGCCAACCAGCCCCCACGGGGCAGGATGCGGCTGCCGGCGGGGCACCAAATCCAGGTGCTGACAGGAGGGAGGGCGAGGATGCAGCCCTGGTCGAGGGCTGAGCCCCCGGGGAAGGGGGGATGCTGGTGGCTGGTCACAGGAGCTGCAGGCACCCTCGGCCCTGGGAGCCCAGCAATGCAGGTCCCCTGAGGACACTCCCATGATGGCACGGGTGCTCTCCCCACCGCTGCTCTCCAGGCCCTGCCATGCACCCACGCACAGCCCAGCACCCTCCCGGAGCCGTCCCGACCTCGGCCACGCACAGCAAGAGCACCATCAGCATCAGCCAGGAGACACGCGGGAGCCACATGCCAAACTAAAGCCGCCGATTAATTCAGACCCCAGTTTTGCCCCCGTCTCCCAGCGTCATGCAGTGGAGATGGGTTTTTCCAACAGCTATGCTGCGTTTCACCCCACCTTCATGGGCACGCTTCATAACCACGAGGGCGCCGGTGCCACATGTGCCACGACACTGTCCCTCTGTCCTGGCACCCTGCCGGGTGCCCCCCAGCCCTCTCAAGCGCCCGTAGGCGAGAGGGTGGGCAGCCCGGCACAATGGGCATCTGTGCTGCAGTGGCATTTCATTAATGCCGCTCAGAAAAGCCCCTGAATCAGCTGATGGGAACTGGGCGCAGGGCTGTCCGAACGCTTAGTGCCGGCTTAGTTAGCTCCATCTGCATTTGAACTAATTCCAATCAGCAGGATCCGATTTAGTTCAAGCTGCTCTGGCTCTTTCGTGGCAGGAAAGACAACACTCAGCAGTTTTGCCAAACCGCCCCGAGTCTGCACGGCCTCTGCCCAGCCCGCGCCGACAGCCCTGCCGCCACGCAGCCAGCGGCACAGCCAGCACCGTGGCACATGGCGAGAGTGTCCCGCTCTCAGGGATGCCAGGAGCGGGGTCCCCTGGGGACACCCAGAGCAGGGTCCCCCAGGAGCCCCAACCCCCGCATCCCACGGCATCGCTCCCCAGTCCCGGCATCATCCCCCTCCATTCTTCCCCAGCCCCTCTCCATCCGCCCCTTCCCACCTCCCGCCCTGGGCCAGCTAATTTCAAAGCTCTATCTCTACATCGCACTATTTATAAGCCCAAGGTCTTTGTGACTTTAATAAAAAAAAAAAACACCCTCTATGTCTAAAGCCCCCCGTGATGGGCGGGTTTGGCACCTCCTCTGACATCAGTGGCTGATAAGTCGAGCTTATCTCCTCCAAGAGCCCTGCGAAGGTCCCTCCGGCGAGATAAGGCCGGCGCAGCTGTCGATAGAGGCTTTTGCAGGCAAGGATTTAGATAAAAGAAAATGTGACGGGGCTGGGAGGGGAAAGGTAACTTTTAAAGTCTCAGCCTGAACCAGGCCTGTGCCACTGGCCAGGCAGCACAAGGGTGGCGGGGAGGGCAGGGGCAGCCCCGGGCAAGCAGGTTGGGCAGGAGCAGCCCTCTCGCTGGGAAAAGCAAGGGCCAAGGTCTCGGTCACCATCCGGGCTGCGGGGCAAAACGTGTGCATCCTTCCCCGGGTGCTATCAGGGCTGCCTGGGGTGCAAGCCTTTTTTATAAAGGGAGTTTTTGGGGTTGGGAAAGGAACAGGGATGCTGCAAAGCTGTTTGAGTCATGCCGCCGTGTCTCCCCCTGGCTATTAAAAGACAGCGCTGGATTTGGCACAAGGACAGGAGGTGACCGGGTCACCCCGGCTAGGAGAGGTGCAAGAAACTTCTGACAGCGCCAGACAGACAGACGGACAGAGTGTGGGAGCAAGGCCAAGGCTGGCAGCAACCCTTGCAAGCTGGCAGCACTGATAAAAATTAAGCAAAAGCCCTCATCGGTCCCCAGCATGCTGAGTACAACAAACCTGCCCGCCAAAGTGCGGGGGCTGCCTGCCACGACTGGGGACACCCCCGTTCCTCGTCCCTCCGCGCTGGGATGGAGGAGAAACCCAGCACCCCGCTGGGGAGCTCCCCCTCCCCGCTAGCTCCGAGGACATCGGTGCTACCCCCGCAGCAGCCCAGGCACAGCCGCTGCCACCATCCCTGGTCCCCACGGACACTGGTTTCCCATCAGATGGCATCCCTCCTGCGAGGGTGAGGAGGTGCCAGGGGAGGAAGGTTTCCCCTCCATGCACAGAGGGGCGCGAGCAGGATTTCAGCTGGCACTGCCGCCTGGCACCGCGGCAGTGCAGGCAGCTGCCGTGGCAGCTAGGGGCCCTCTCC